AGGACCAATTTTCACACAAGGGCAAGGAAAAACCAGAAACTACTATTTTACCCTTTAAACTGAGACACTCCAACCTACAAAATTACCTGTAATAAATATCTCAGCTCAAAATAAGACCTTAGCATCTGCTAAGGTTTGAAGTGTAGGAAATAACCCAGCTCCTGTTTGTCAGTCCATGCTCTAGCTTGCTGGCAAGACTATTCCAGAAGATTTCTGAGAGGCAGAAACATCTGCTGTAAGGAAGACAGCTACTGAAGGGATTCCAGGAGCATGAGACTGAGTCCACAGGCTGGGTGCTATCAGTGTCCTCTTCTAGTGACATCTTCCTCTTTCAGGGCAAACTTCCTCCTCAGGACCTCAGAGGAACGGATGGCAGGGTCTGCCTCCTTCAGTAAACTCTGGTTCATTTCTTGGCTCTGTTGCATCCGGTGCAAGTCCTTCTGGATACACATCATGTCTGGCAAAGCTGCTGGCTTTGGACAGAGAGATGCAGTCATCCTCTTCAGACGAGCTTTGTTTTCTGTTTTGCAACATTCAGGTTGGCAGAACAAAGCAGGGGGACTGATGGAAACTCAGAGACCTCTACTTCAGTCTCCTGAGTGATGTCACTAATGACAAGGGAAGTTGTAGAGTGGAATGAGGATCCAAAACAAGGTAAGGGAGAAGAGATAGTTGAACTTCCTGGAGATAAGAAAATCTGGTGTTAATGAAGCCAATGCTCAGGTGGCTCAGCTTATCCTGCAGCTCTGTGGTGCAACTCAAGGCTTGGCGCCTGGTTTCTTCAGAGCCAGAAGCCTCAGACCACAGCTGGTTGGGCACTGAGGCATTGCACTGTCTAACAATCAGAGGGCAGGGCTTCCAGGTGTGCCTCAGGGGTCCTGTATCACTCCTGACCCGCAGCATTGGCCTCCTCTTCATCCACAGCAATTGAGGTGATGTCAGCCAGGGTGGGAACCGGGGCACATTCCTCTGACACAGGTCAGAGATATTGGTAGGATCTCAAAGGATGATGCCCGGGGACATGGCTTCAGTGGAAGGTTGGTTCCCATCCTTCTCACCACACTGCAAGCTGCCCCATAAGGCTTATTTGCCAGATTGGAATGACCACATTGGCTTCCATCCCCAACACTGCAACCAGCTCCTGTGTTTAAAGCACAAGGCAGCCACAGGGCAGCTCTGGGGACTTAGAGGTGTGACTGCTTTATATCAGGCTGTCCTGAGGCATATACTTCCCTTGTTTTTCTCACCTCAACCCAGCTCCTGGAGACTTTCTTAAAAAAAAACTCATGCCCAGCGGTTCAAATCCACCAGATGCTCTGCTGGAGAAGAAGGGGTAATCTCCTCCTTTACCAATCAAATACTTTTTGATGGTACACACATACAAAAGAGTAACATATAAACAAACAAACAAAAACACCTCATGCCTTACCCAAATTGTCACAGAGAAGTGGAACACTTGAACAGACCCATTGCAAAAGAAAAAATTGTCCAGGTCAGAAAAAATTAAAACTCCCTCCAAAAAAATGCTTTGGAAAAAAAAATGCTTTGGCCTAAGAGGCTTCATCAGTGAATCCTACCAAACATTCAGAGAAAACTGTTACCAATTCTACTTAAATTATTTCAAAATAAAAGAATAATCCCAGCTTCATTCTATAATGCTATCGTAACCTTGATACCAAAACAAGACAAAGACATAATCAAAACAGAAAACTGTATTCCAATACCTTTCATGAACATGGATGCAAAAATATTTAATGAAGTCCTAACCAACAAAATCCAACATGATGTAAAACGATAATTCATCAGCATCAGATGAGATTCCTAATAGGCATGCATAGATGGTCCAATATAAGAAAAACAACCAATGTAATCCACCACATTAATAAAGCAAAGGACCAAAACCACATGATCTTGCCACTGATGCAGAAAAGGCCTTCAACAAAAGCCAACACCCATTTCTGGTTAAAACACTCAACAAAATAGGAATCCAGGAGAATTCCTCCAACATTGTTAAAAACATATAAGGAAAACCAAGAGCCAAATCATTCTCAATGGAGAGAGTCTAAAGGCTTTGTGTACAGGGACCAGGCAAGGATACTCACTATCCCCACTTTCATTCAATGATGTATTGGAAGTTCTAGCTAGAGAAATTAGGCAAGAGATCAGAGTCTTAAAGTCACTCTGTAAATTAAAATCCAGGCCATGTTATAAGATCTTGAGGCTCTTCGGGGAGAGCAGGGACTTTTGTTCAAGATAAAGCCACAGAAAAGTCTCTAGAAGCCTCATTCTTTCTCCACCCAGCAGGTATTAGCTCAACTCAACAGAGGCCAAGAAGATAGATGTCCTTGCATAAGAGAACCTCCAGAAAGAAAAGCACTCTAATGCAACTGGCACCACCCTCAGAGGTCAAGCCCGGGACAATCATGCTTTGGTTTGTTGGAAGTTTCCTTCTTCCTCCTGAGGTAGTGAATCATTAGGGGGGGGTCACAAGTGCCAGGGTGTGGCTGCTTGGTCAGTGCCCAGCCTCTGCTGAGTTAGCCAATTCTTGGCATCAAAACAATCTTGTGAATTTAATGACATGTAAAAATGATTCTGAGGTATTACAGGAAGAAATGAGCTCTAAAATATTATGTAAATTTCACATGTTAAAAAACCCTCAGAAGAATAATAACATGTGTTGAGCTTAATGTCCAGGCTGGATTTAGAAGAGGTCATGGTACTAGGGATATTATAGCTAATGTTAGATAGATCTTAGCAGAAAACAAAGAATACCAGAAGAATGTCTATCTGTGCTTCATTGACTATGTAAAGGCTTTTGACTGTGTGGATCACAATAAGCTGTGGCTGACTCTGAGGAGAATGAGAATCCCAGAATATTTGATTGTGCTAATGCGAAACTTATACTTGGACCAAGAGGCAGTTGTCAGAACAGAACAAGGAGACACTACATGGTTCAAAATCAAGAAGGAGGTTCGTCAGGGATGTATTCTGTCTCCATACCTTTTCAATCTGTATGCAGAACAGATCATCCGAGACGCTGGGCTATACAAAGAGGAATGTGGCATCAGGATTGGTGGAAGAGTCATCAACAACCTGCGTTATGCAGATGACACAACCCTGCTTGCTGAAACTGAGAAGGACCTGAAGTGCTTGCTGCAGAAGGTCAAGGACTGCAGTCTCCTATATGGATTGAAGCTCAACATCAAGAAAACAAAGATTCTCACCACTGGGCCAATTGGCAGCATCAGTATGGATGGTGAAGAGATTGAGATAGTTAACAGTTTTAGTTTACTTGGCTCCACAGTCAACACTCTTGGTAACAGCAGCCAGGAAACCAGAAGATGAATTGCACTGGAAAAGTCAGCTGTGAGGGACCTCTCAAGGGTACTGAAGAGCAACGACATCAGGCTGGAAACTAAGGTGTGCCTGACCCAGGCTATAGTCTTCGCAATTACGTGCTATGAATCTGAGAGTTGGACAGTGAATAGGGTTGACAGAAAAAGAATTGATGCCTTTGAGCTGTGGTGCTGGAGAAGAGTGTTGAATATACCATGGACTGCTAGGAGAACAAACAGGTTTGTCCTGGAGAGGGTGAAGCCAGAATGTTCCCTGGAGTCAAGGATTCTGAAGCTTCGTCTGACATATTTTGGGCATGTTGCAAGGAGGGACTGGTCCTTGGAGAGGGACATCATGTTTGGCAGAGTGGAGGGGCAGCGAAGGAGAGGAAGACCTTTGATAAGATGGATCGATTCTGTGACTGGAGAAGTGGGAAAAAGTGCGTTTGAGATGGCTAGGTTGGCACAGGATAGAAGAGCATATAGAGCTCTTGTACATAGGGTTGCTATGAGTCGCAGGTGACTTGATGGCACATAACAACAACAGCAACATTGAGCTTTGAGAGGGTATAACTAGGTTTCTAATTGGAGTTTAGGATTTTGAAGCTCTGCCTGGCATACTTTAGGCACATGGCCAGGAGAGACTGGTCCTTGGAGAAGGACATCATGCTTGGAAGAGCAGAGGTGGAAGGTTATTGGAGGTTGATCAACTATCCACACTTCAATGTTTCTGAGTGGCTGTGTTGTTGGGCTCGGTGATGAGTAATTGGAATATGAAGTGGAGAAAGTCACTGCAGCTCTTCTGGAACTTGGACATTGGCTGGGGAATGAGGATTGTGATAGGCAGGTAGAATGCAGTGTGAGAGGTAGGGGATGAATAGGGGCTATGGGAGGGAGCCTACAGCAGACACAACTCATCTCCGATGTGGCATCAGGAGGGCTGGCTGGGAGGAGAGTTGGCGAAGCCAAGGACAATGGGAGAAGGAGTGAGAAGAAAGTGTAAGGACAGAATAAGAGCATAAGCAAAAGCTTAGGAATGAGAAAGAAGATTATATCTTTAGAGGGTGATGAGAGATGAGACTAATGGTGTTTCTGGAGGGCAATGAGGAACTATAGAAAGAGTCTGAACAAGGAAATCATTTGATCAGATTTCTGTTTTTAGAAGATCTCTCAGGTTACATTAAGCTTTCTTCAAAGAGCAAAGAAAACGGTAGCAGTAGTAAGGAATGATGACAAAGAACGATGGCACCTGTTTGGTGGCTCTGAGACTCGGGTTTTTATGCCTTGAAGAAGGGAACGGTGGGTGGGCACTCTGATTTGAGTACTCACTTCTGAAGCTTATTCACTGGATTTGTACAACAAAGCTAAAGGCACTTCTCTCTACACAAAGTTAAAATTGCTGAGAGGGAAAACTGAACTCATACTAGAAAGGATGATTTGGTGTCTGCCTCAGCGTGGTGGTGGTGGTGGTGGTGAAATAGTGCATTAATCACCATAGGGGACACTACAGAAGGTCTTTCTAATAATGACAAGGCTAACTATTCTAGCCCAGGTTAGATAGATACAAGTGACTGAGTTACAATTCAGAAAGTCAAAATCTTTTCATGACACAGAGGGTTGACACCTTGGGAGGCCCAAGGACAGGAATCAAGCACTGACCTGGGCTCACGGGTGTGTTGCTGCATGGTCCCCTCGGAGTGCCTGCAGGGAGAGCTCATAACCAAGGAACATGGCTGCACTCATGGGGAACCCCCGCACAGCGTTCACGGTGATGCCTCTGAAAAAGACCTTTGCACAGGACACCAGATTATTACAGGGACTGGCCCTCACCCTCTGTGTGTGCTGGGCAGAGTGAGACTGGAGTCCTTCCCCATCCCATGCCCCCATTTCAGGCTGGACACCCAGAGCCCAAAGGACCAGCTCAGTGGGGACCACCCAGAGGGCCCCAGTTGTCCACTTCCCTGCTATGCTGTACTACAGGTCAAGGGTTGATTCTGCAAACACACACACCCATACACACACACACACACACACACACAGACACACACAGACAAACACACACACACACACACACACACACACACACACACACTTGATTAATTGGTCTCTCTATCACACACACACACACATACACACATTTGATTAATTGGTCTCTCTCTCTCACACACACCCCCCATTCCTTGGGGGTCTGCAGGTCCTAATTCTCCACTCCACTCTCTGCAGTGGTACAATACACTGCCAGCCATGATCAGCTGCTGTCACAGTTGCACTAAGACACATTTCCAAAGTAACCACACTGGGAGGAGCTCAGGCTCTGCAGGCATGGAGTCGAGGTAGGCTCTTCCATCTAGAAACATCAAACACTCTGGACCTCAATTTTTCTTACTGTAAAATAGTCATAGCAATAAAGTTTTTATCTGATAGGATTATTGGGGCAATACATAAGATGATGCTTTTTCAGGAACACTAACATGCCTCATTAACTCTTAATGATGATGCTCACCATCATTGTTACCAAAGCCAATACCACACTTTGATGCAAAAGCATGTACCCTTTAATTTGTTTGCCCAGCTTACACTCTCCATGGGAAGCATTTTCTTAAACATGCTATGCCAACTTTTCCACAAAAGTATATAAAATTGACATGGTGTGCTTGTTAATTGCATAAAAATTTGGAATCTCCATCATTAGTATGCGTGCTGAGGTATAATGGTCTGTTTTTCTGATTAACTAAACCCCAACTTTAACACTACCAGAAGCCTCCAATTGTCTTCCATGTGCAGGTGTAATATAAGAGGCTTCCTCATATGATGTTCCTTTCCCTGCTTCTTCCTGTTTGATGCAGTGAAGACACAAGTGAGGTATGTGCGGTTCCTAATTCTGACAGTTCCTATCCTCCTGGATAAGGAAACCCGGGACGCTCACATTATAATCCAGAAAATGACAAGAACAGAGATGGGCTTTGGAAAGGGCTGTCCTGCAGATACTCTCTGGGAAGAAAAGCCAAAGATAAGTTCCTACTCAAGTACATATGACACAAGAACTGTTAGGTGTGAGCTACATACTTGACTCATGTATTATTCACCAAGTCTAAGACACAGAACAAGTGCTGCAATATTAAAGCCGCAGGCATCCTGCCCTTTGATTTCCCCCAGTTCCACTGGTCAGGATGTCAGGTGACCTGTCTTTGCGGATCAGCACCTTGGGATGCTGGCTGGGCAGCCTGAAAGATGCAGCTTAAAGTGGAAGGAGTGACTTAGTGAATCCTGGGGAAAGTCTTAGCCCCAGGGAAGGGCGCTGATGAACCAGAACCTCAGGGGTGAGCTGAGTGGCTCTGCCAAACCCTGGGGCCATTTGGGCAGAGCCTGAGAAGGACATTAGCACTTCTCTCTAACGGCTAACCTTTCTGGAATTCCACAGGCTCACCCAGAGTGACTGAACAGTGAGGAACTGGGTCAGGCTCTAGGAGAGGAAAATTCCACGAGGGTGCTCACAGAGGCTCCCTGTGGGCTTGGGTTTGGCTCTGCTCTGAAAGATTGAGCAGGCAGGACCTCACCACGAATGCAAACCTCTCCCACAGGGCTGTACCCTGCAGAAACTGTGGGCCACTTCAGACTGGCAGACGTGCCCACCCTTCAGAAGCTATAGCCAGGCCCAAAGAAGGCAAACAACATGCAGAGATTTGATTCTTACTCGGCAGTTTGAAAATACAAAACCATCAGATTGAGGCTCTATCCAAAGCCTCAATGACTCCCCACCAATAGGGTGGTGTCATATCCCTTCATTGTCCTACATGACCTCCCCCAATCCCCTCCAGATGCTAGCCCTGCCCAATCCCCAGGCGGCCTCTCCTATATCACACACTAGACAGGCTAACGGGCTGTCATTCGTCTATGACACCTGCTTCTTTCCTATTGGGTCACTTTAGGTCTCCTCAACCTCCCTAAGCTTGTGCAGAGGATTCTCGTAGCCCACCATGGCACTCAAAGTCAGATATGACCCACCATCTCTGACCATGCAGCATGTCTTTACCACAGAGCTTCTAATTGTCTTACCATCACCCGGTGCCTGTCTATCTTTCCTGTGATTATACCAGTCAGGCCACTGAGAGAGAGTGGTCACTGGTTTCTCAGTACTTGATCCAATGGTTGGCTTAGAGCAGACTCTACCTAATGTTTAGACCCTCCCTAACCATTTGCTAAATGATGGATGATGGTCATGAATAAGGAACAAACTCTAGGATGAAAGATACAGTCTGGAGTGGGAGAGGAGTGTCCTCGAGGTAGGGGAGGCTTTCAACCCTGAAAAGGGCAGCTAGCCGAGGTAAGATAGAAAACTTGTCTACCTAGAAATGTTTCTCTAGAGTTCTACTTAGAATCATACAGTCTTATCCTTTCCTCACAAATCTTTCCCAATAGGCACCACTCTGGCACTACAATGGGTCTATGTCTCTATTTCATAACAACTCTTCCACTACCCATATCGTTTAAGAAGACTCTCCTCCTGGATTTTCCTTCTTTGTTTATGAAAAAAGGACCATAAGCCTATGAACTTTTAATTTCTGCTAGACGAAATGCTGCTCCACTGGTAAAAAGTAGCTTTGGTGGCCTAATGGAAAAGGGATTGCACTGCTAACCCCAAGGTACACAATTCAAATCCACCATCTGCCCCTCAGGAGAAAGATGGGCAATCTCATCTTGTGAGATTTTGTTGTTGTAATTAGGTGCCATTAAATAGAGTATGACCCATAATTACCCTATGAACAGTGGATCTGAATCCTGTCCTATCCTGTCATCCTCACAATATCTACTTACGTGATTCTATTGCTGCAGTCACCATGTCAGTTCATCTAGTTGAAGTCTTCCTTTCTTTTGACATCTCTCTATCTTTCCACACATGATGCCCCTCTCCGAGGATTAACCCTTCATAGCAGTATGTCCAAAGTATTTGAGACAAAACTTTATCATCTTTGCCTCCAAAGAGAACTCTGGCTATACCTTCTCCAAGGTATATCTATTTGTTCTTTTGGCAGTCCAGGAGATGCTCAGCACTCTTCTCCAACACCATAGTTCAAAGGCATTAATTCTTTTATTATCATCTTTATTCATGGTCCATCTGTTTGATGCATAGCAAATGACTGAAAATACTATGACCTGAATCAGATACACCTTAGTCCTCAAACTGACATCATTGCTCCTCAATAATTTGTAGAGGTCCCTTGCTAAAGACTTTCCCAGAACAATACATCTCTTGGTCTCCTGACTGCTAGTACCAACTGTAATAATTATGGATCCAAGCAAGATGAAGCTGTTGACATTTCAAGCCTTTCTCCATCTATCAGAGGTTGCCTATAGGTCCAGGAATTTTTTATTTTCTTAATGTTGAGATGCAATCTATATTCATGACTGTAGTCTTTGATCTTCTGCAGCAAGTATGTCAAGTACTCTTCACTTTCAGCAAGCAAGATTGTGCAATTTACTGCCTCTGAAAACCCACTTGGAGGGTCAAGTATGAGTCAGCTCCTACTTGATGGCACATAACAACAGCAATTGCTGATAATCACTAAATTAGTTACAAGGTGGTTAAAATTTGGCACCTTTTTCATTATTTTATTCCTTTCCAATTCTTTATGATGACTATGTTCTTCATAAAAACATGACACAGATCGCATAATAGGCTTTGAGTTTCATGCCCTGTTTCAGTGAATGATAAGAGTAAAAAAAGCATTTGAGCCAGAGTAGGACCTTGGGTCATGCCCTGGACCCTGGGCAAGATGTTCGTCTTAACTCCTGGTGAAATCTGCCTTTGAGAAACCTAATTTTAGATGATTTCATATTTTTGGGTTTGTTTTTTTTAA